CGTCGTTGATGTCATCTACCGCAAAAGTTTTCTATAACTAGAGCAAACACTTGGTGTCCCTGTCTTATAGGCAGTTTTATCCTAACTATAACCCATTGCTAGCCATGCGTCTTAGCATATAGTAATCCCGAACAAGAGAAGTGCTTCTCAGAGCGCTATACCATTGGGATATAATTTCGACACCTATATAACTTACAAATATTTCAAGATGCTTCCTAGGTGGTTGAGCATTTGTACTTTGCTCTGCTTGCTCGTATGTTTCGATCAGGTGGCCGCGGGGCGATTGGGACCATATCCGAGACAAGAGACTTCTCCCTCGACAGTGGAGACAACAAAAACGACACAAAATGACGACCGAGAACCAACTACGACTCCTCCAGATAACTCAGAAACCCCTTCTAGTTCATCAGCAAAGCCCACACCCGTCGAGGTTACTACTACCGCAACCAGTACCCCAGAATCAACCACAATCCCCTCCGCTCTCAACGGGAATAATCCGAGCAATGATAACTTCTCCGAGGAGCGTAAGTGGTCCTGTTATCCTTTCCTACTTGGATTGCACAATATTAGTTTCTAACCGAACAATTGTAGCAGCTGTTGTCAAGGGTGAAGTACCCATACAACCTCGACTAACGCCAGGATGGGGCGTTTCCGGTGCGATTATGCTCATTACCGGCGTCGTGTATGCTTTGGTTGGCATCAAAAATACCCGGCTACATACGTTTTTCTCGTCGGCATATCTTGCTAGTCTTTGTGTGGCAGTTTTGATCGTTTACGTTATGAATCCTCCCATATCGGATGCTATTCAGGGGGCTTATGTCGTAGCAGCCGTATGTGCCGGTCTACTCCTTGGTGGTGCCGCAACCGTCTTTAAGGAACTTACCGAGGGCCTCGGATGCCTTCTCGGTGGCTTCTGTTTTTCCATGTGGCTTCTCACTTTGCGTGAGGGTGGTTTGCTTCCAGCCACCACCGGTAAAGTGATCTTCATCGCTGCTTTCACAGTTGCAGGTTTCGCATTCTACTTCAGTCACTATACAAGGCCATACGCTATGATCGGCTTAATGTCGTTCGCTGGTGCAACGGTTACAGTTTTGGGTATTGATTGCTTTACTAGAGCAGGGTTGAAAGAATTCTGGGCTTATATCTGGAACCTAAACGACAACCTATTCCCTCTCGAAGCCACGACATATCCATTAACTAAAGGTATAAAGGTGGAGATCGCGATGATCATCGTATTGACCATTCTTGGTCTAATCTCTCAGTTTAAACTGTGGCGTGTGATTCAGGAGCATCGTGCGAGGCGATTTGAAGAGCGAGCAGAGTTCGAGAGGATGCGGGACGAAGAGGAAGCTAGTGTAGGACGACGGGTTGAGGAAGACAACAAGCGCGAAAGGAGGCAATGGGAGACAACTTACGGAGATCTATCGACGCCACCAAGCCCCACTGTCTCTCGCGATTCGGGTGTTGGTGAGATTGAGAATGAGAAGAGGGGCCAAGTCACCCAGACAACTGTTCAACCGGTGTCACCAAGCGAGATGGAGAACGAGAATGCAATCGAGATGACAGATCTTCCATCCGAAGATAATACGTCTTCTGAAGTGGGTAAACATCTGGATGAGGGTCTGGTCATCGCAGGGCATAATGAAGATAATCGAATAACTGTTAGGGTTTCGAGGGATTATCACGATGACAAGGAGACGGCAACCCTACCGGAGCCTGATGAAAATGCCTGGATGGCCGGTGTTGATAACGAAATGCAACCCGGATCTCCAAGATCACTACGCAACTCGCGAAGGATCTCGAATTTGACCGGTCCCGAAATAACACCCTTGCCGTTTAAAGTGCCGGAGCTAGACGAAAAGGACATCGACGACAACGACGACGATAGGTCGTCATTCGCAACGTTTGCCGACGAAGACGATCGGTCCATTACGCTAAGCAAAAGAGCATCAAGGGCGTCCCTATCGCATAGGTTATCTGTGGGTTCAGGGAACTTACTGCGTGGTTTATCGCAGCGTTCTAAACGAGAGACCGGAGAATCCGAGTTGCCTCAGCCGTCATCTAGATGGGGAGAAAGTAATGAGGGACTAGTTTCCAAGAATCAAAAGCCTACTGGAGATACTGGCTCTATCGTTGCTACTGTTGACGGCATGAGCGATAACGGTGAAAACGGCATAGAATTTGCTAAATCCGAAAAACCGGCCTATCCAAGGGAAATCAAAGCAGAATTAGGTAATATATTGCCGAAAGAAGAGTCTAGTTCTAAAGATCGACCTGTTGCACAACTGAAGCCTACCGACTCGGGTACTTATCTTGAAGTTCGGCCCTACTCGACAGCAGAGACAGTTGCAACCGACATCTTGAACCCGTCGTTTCTAGGAGAACCCCTTGGAGATAAATCTAAAAGGAGTAGCGCAACGAATGCCACAGGAAAGATAGACGAGACGGATGGTGCTAACCTTACTAACGCGATGGAATCGAAAACTCCCTCTGATACATCCAAGGTTGCCAAGTCAGCATCGCCATCCGCTGTGTCCTCCGCGAGCCTCACAAAAGAACATCTCCCTTCTAGTTTGTCACGTGTTGCGCTATCGTATCGTACAAACGAGTGGGCGAAACATCTAACCCTAGCGGAAAAGCCTGAGCCTGACACATTGCGCTTAAACGAGTATGTCGAGGCCGAAGAGACTTCAAAGCGGCGAGAAGAAGCCCCCGCCCCTGTTAACGTCGATGAGCTGCAGCAAACAGCGGAGAGTGGTATTCCAGCAGCCTCTATTGTGAGGTCATACTCTTCAGTATCCAATGCCCAATCAAATGTACAGGCCTACCGTTCTTCGTCAAGAACGACTATCACAGGTGCAGAAAATTCGGTGCAAGCCATGTCTACTGCCATGCCTCTAGTAGGACAATCACAAGATACTAGCGACAAATCAAATAATACAAAAGGAGCCCAACCGAATATTCACACAAACCACAGTCTACGGATGAAGGGCCGTCGACAGTCAAGCGATATCATCATTCAACCAATTCTAGAAGAGAAGGGTGACGAACACGGCATTAAAGTCAATTCTATACAGGAGGAGGGAGATGGTTCCGCTTCAAGATCAAGCCCTTCCCCGTCTTCAGAATTTGAATCACAAGGAATGAATAGACCTTCCGTTCCGGGTGTTGTGTCATACTCTAGTCCTCAGACACTCATTGGCAAGAGAGATATGTTTTTACGTAGCAAATCTCAGTCAACAGTATTATTCTCACCGCCGAACCACGAAGCTACACAATACACACCTAGATCGATCAGCCAAATGGAACAACCTTATAATTTGCCGGCTTCTTCGTCCTTTGCCATGCAGGATGCTGATGATCTTCCTCTCAGCAAACGAAAGGAACTTATTCGTCAGAGCAGTTTGCTTTCTGCTCAATCGGCTACAATTAACCCTAGGCCACACAGCACTATGAGAATGCCTTATACGCCTGGTCATAGTCCAGGGCCCACGTCGCCGGTCGCAGCTGACAGCGCGCAGTTCAACTCCCACCAACCCCAGCGGCATTCTACTGCCCCATCCCAAGCGCACCGTGAAGCCCTTCTCGCCAATTTCCGGCAGTCCGTTGCTGTAGATCTACGAGCGAATACCCCTGTCTCACCCGCTGTTAACAACAGCGGGGAGACTCTTCTGGTTCGCTCTGGTTCTTCAACCTTGCTGGGACCAATGGGGATTCGCAATGGAAACAATGATGTGCAGTACAATATCGATCAGCAGAGAAGTATGCTTCTCTCGCAGCGGGAACAAGAAGCTCAGAGAAGAGAGCAGGAGCGCCGAGAGAAAGAACGTAATGAGCGTGCTTTTGAAGAGATGATGCGCCGTGGCGATCTCATAGATGCTCATCGGGAAGCTATGAGGAGGATGCAAAGTACCATCAAGGACCAATAACAGAAAAACGGTTAAGGGGCTATGAGCTTATGTGTGGGAACAAATATATGGTAACGGATGTATGGATTTCTGGTTTCGTTAATTTCGTCTCGGGTCAGGTTGGGGGCCGGAGGAATTTGATACCCTTTCTTTCCCTCCTTTTTTTATAACATTTTCCTTCTCGTACCAAACAGTTACTATCGAGGTATGTTGGGCCACGGCCTATTATATACACGCACGCGCGCACGCACAACACACATGGACAAATATATCCTCTACCTATTTTGTAATATGTAATCTCTGGGACGGAATAAAAAATTGGGATCACCAAGGAAGCAGAGAAGGGCTCGGTCCGGCAACTAGAGGGGACGATGCAGAGGGGATGATGCATATAATGGGAACACAAAACATGCAAGATACCGCCACGAACCCGTGCTTTGGAAATCATGGCGTCGAGTTAATAAAGGGGAAAGGCAATAGATGTATGTGGTGTAATCTTGCTGCTTCGAAAATGCATGAGTATCTGTTTACATAAACTCCCATAGTTATAAGTATAAACATTGCATAAGTATTTGGTGTTTGTTTTTTATACCCCCTTTGCCCCAAAGTGATTGTAACCAGTGGTCTTTTCGGAGAAAACTACATATCATTTTATTGGGTATATATATATATATATGCTGCATTGCAGAGGTAATTACTTTTGAATACCCAAGCACCTTGCTTTATAATATATAAGTCCTATGACGCTGCTAAAGGAATTTGCTTATTTATAGTTACGCTTATAATGTTCAACTCGGGAAATCCCCAAAACCGAGTATTTTAGAAAAGAGCAGACTTATGTACATCTATTGCTTTACGCACTGTAAGTAGATCTATGTACTATGTACGGATTACATAGGTACCATCAGCCCCAGGCAGGTACGGTGAAAAAAAAGCATGCTATTCCCCACATCTAACGTTATTCATGCTAAAGAGCTGATAGGAGGTGCCTAAGATATGTAGCATGTACCTACGTACCTACGTTTAAATCTTGACCTGGAAGCCATCAGGGTCCATGTAATTTTCAATTACAGCTAGGTAGGCACTGGGTCACGTCACTAACTGTGCTTTTGCGATATCAACAATAGGCAGCTGCATGCAAGTACATATTGGCCGTTGTGTTGCCTAAGTTACAGTTGTTAAGTACCAAATATAAATGATTATTGTGGCGCCTTGAACTTTGGGCCTGACGCAAAACTTACTCCGACTTCTTTTTTTAACTTAAACACACCGCAACAGTCACCATTCCGAGTGAATAACGTACAAAGACTGCACAATCACGGATTTCTCTCAAATTACCACCCAATATTTTTGTTCATCTATTGTCGCCAATCCTTTCGTCACGAATCTAGTAAATAAAAACCTTTGTACAGTACGATAACATTGCTTTTATGATTCAGAAGCATGTAAGATGTTGTTTCCGTGACTACCTGGCTATTTCTATTGTTCCTACCTTGTTCGTACTCAGCGTAGTGCTTACCTAAAGTTATTTAACTGTCGTGCCCCTCCAGCCTCAGTTCGAGATTTCCCTAATCACAGACCCACCTTCCCACATCCAACCTGCATACATCATCAATCTGCTGCCGCCTTTAAACTTCTACTTTGATTCCTCCTTGTCCACACCAAGTTGTGAGCACAAAAGCATCAGACATACCCATCATACCCATCTACAGCCTCTATTTGGTTTCGCGACCGAGTTTTTGCAACCTCATACTTATTTCGACCACAGAAAACCGATCCTCTCAATCCGACATCATGGGTGAATCCGAAGCTCCCCCCGCTGCCAACTACATCCGACTCCAGTCAAATGACAACGTGAGGATTGATGTTGGTAAGTTAATCGTCTACTCCTTCCTGCTATGAAGCTTTACTTACATGCATCACAGAGAAGGCTGTTGCGGAGCGATCGCTCCTAATCAAGAACATGCTCGAGGATCTTGGTCCTAACGCTGAGGGACAAACTATCCCTATCCCCAACGTAAGTCATTCCTGCTCAACCGTAATAGTGCTATAGCTCTCAGCCGCAAAGTGAACGTTATTCTAATATATCTACTATAGGTGACCGAGCCCGTCCTTCGCAAGGTCATCGAGTGGTGTGAGCACCATCGTCACGATCCCCCTGCCTCGAACGAGGACGAGTCCGACAATCGCAAGAAGACCACTGATATCGACGAGTGGGATCAGAAGTTCATGCAAGTCGATCAGGAAATGCTCTTCGAGATTATCCTCGTATGTATATCCCAATACTCTCACCCTCTTATTTTTTGCTGTATAATTACTAACACATCTTTCTCCTCTAGGCCTCTAACTATCTCGATATCAAGGCATTGTTGGATGTTGGATGCAAGACTGTCGCCAACATGATCAAGGGCAAATCTCCCGAGGAGATCCGCAAGACGTTCAACATTACGAACGACTTCACCCCCGAGGAGGAAGAGCAGATTCGTCGCGAGAACGAGTGGGCTGAGGATCGATAAACGCCTCAAGTCACATCCGGTTGTTTTATGATTACTTAATCTTCATATACATTAAGTCCTATGAAGTGATATGACTGATTTGATAAGGGATGGAGACGACAACCGGCTAATGGGATTCTTTGCGGCTCGTGGCATAAACCGTAGGCATTTCATAGCTGACCATTTGCGTGTGGCATTGGCATGGAGAAGAGTGGATTCGGATTTTTGAGACGGGCCACCTCCAACCCTTGTTCTCTTAACCAGTATAATAACTAACCTACTGGATGGTATCAGCAGCCCTACATGGTTAGAGAGCATGCAAATTTGCTTTAGGAGTTTTGGAATCAGCATATTGACATTAGTAAACACCACTTAAGGTCCTTTATAATTTCGTGATTTGTGATGCAATAATGCATGTGATTTTCCTACTCTTTTAAGAGTTGATGCCGTAATAGTCCTTATCCTATTCTAGCTATGTACCTAGACAGCGCGCAAACAGGTACCTAACCTATGTACATAGATAAAGACTATTGTAGCTTCAGGTTTGTAACTTTGTCTACCTAAGGTAGGTAGGTAGCCTGCATAAATAGTGCTGAGACAAGTAGTAGTTGCTCTTGTCGTTATAGTTTGTGTACCGACTACAAATACGCCGTTGTCAAGTCATAATAGGTACCTAGGTAGGTGCTGCCGTCTTAGCAGCAACGCCATAGTAACACTTCTAATTTACATCTCTTGTTAGACGCCAACAGCGTCAGTTAATATTTTCCCAATACAAAACACACTTTCTAACGTTATTAGGCTACAACATCATCATCAACCCAACAACTACCTAACTTTCAAACAATTCTCTACTACCAACCGTCATCATGGGTATTTTTAGCTTCATCAACACTGGCATGCAGAACATCGCCTCGTGGTGGTCGGACCGCCAGGCCGTGAAAAGCACAGACGCCTGCATCTGGTTCGTCGTCGGCGCCGTTGTGAGCTACATGGCGCAGCCGGGACAGCAACGTCGGCGGCTTCCCCTCCCTGGCACCATCCTCCTGCGAGAGGAAGCCTACGAGGACCGTTCCTCCTACGACAAGGCTGTTGCCGAGGCCGACCTCGAGTGGACTAGATTCTGGAACAAGATGAAAACCATAAAGAAGAAGGCGAGAAAGATGGAGAAGGAGAAGAAGCGGCGGGACGAGAGGAGGGATAAAGTGTCGCAGAAGGTGAAGATGCTTTGTGGTGATGGTGTTGCTTCGGCTCCGGAGCAGAATGGATTGGGAGTGGGAGTGAGATTGGAACTGGAGCAGCAGGGACTGGAGCGTGCAAGAACTGTGTGAAGAGAGAAAATGATCACTTTCTACTATCATCTTCGATTCTCTACGTTTCGTTCGATTAAACTAAGAGGCAACTACCACAACCTTGGACGACAATGAAGATGTCGATACTCGTCTCCACGACTTGAGTTTTCACATCTTCTTCGTGGATCGCCATAGGTAAGTCCTCTTTGGCTGGTAATCCTGATGGTGTTTACTGTTAGCTAATGATTATTAGGCTGGTTCGTTCGTTGGAGACTCTTCAAGCAGAGACAACAATAGGTTAGGGGAATTCAATGTGAAGGTTGTGTGGAAGCAAGGAGATATGGAAGAATAAAATGAAAACAAGAAAAGAAAAAGGCATATGTTGGACCGGGACTGGACAGCAAGGAAACTTAGCATGGATTGACTTCTGGAATTCTCATATTTTGTTAGTAGATGCCTAGGTTAGTGTAATGCCGAGGCAGGTAATATGCACCTATTCGCCTCGACATCCCAAAGTGTCAATCACATTAATCGTAAACTTTCTCAGTGGCATCAAAAAAGAATCGTAGTTGCTTTGTTCGCAAACCCGTCATTTCATTCCCTACGACCAGTACCATGCAAATCTGGAATTGATGAGCCCTGAAGAAAACCGAGAATCGCCCGCACCCATCATGCTTTCCCCCCTACTGACACAGGATACAGCATGTGTTCTGCCTGGAAGAAAATCCCACCGCCGAGGTAATGCCAGTCTATGTTTGATCCTCCACTGCGAGACCCGTCCCCTGAAGACCGCCTAATCGCTCAATTCCGGCATGATAACATATCGCATTCGGTGGGTTGGCTTCCCAGAAACAGATGTAGCCTGTTGTAGATGGGGATATAGAAATGCATCTAAATGCCGAGACGGGTCTTGCGCCAATGCCTTCTCTTGGCGTTGTATCTGCGGATTGTTAGTTATTTCCATATCTCTTAGTCTTTGGTCTTGCTCGATTATCTGCCTCGGGACCAAGATATCGTCGGGAAGTTCGCGGGGAGTTCGTACCGGATGGTGTTACCAGTGCGGAGACGAATCCATTGGGGGATAGGTCTGTTCTGCTTCTGCGCCTTGGCGAGCTTCTGCTTCGTTCGGAAAGACTTGTGGCTCTGTCGGTGGGAGTTTATGTTAGTTAAACGCAATTCTCAAAGTAGACACTATCACACCAGCTAGAAAATCAGACAACCATCGCATTCGCCTCAACGACAAGGACATGATGCGAAAAGATGATTGTGAGATACTCTACTAGAGCAGTGCCAGTGGTATTGACGACAACGTAGAATACATACCGGCATTTTGACTGCTTGTGCTGATCAGAATGTCGAGATTATTTCGTGAGTGTCTTGTTTGAAGGAGGGTGGGAATTGTAGTCTAATCACGAAGCGGGCTAGAAATTTTGGGTGATCCGAGGGTTTTGCAGCCCCAATCCAATTTGTGTGCGGACCGAGCTTATAGCACGTGATTGCTGGAAGAGATTGAGATTTGGTTCCGATAAGATACGCTATGACCAACTTCATACATTAGGTACATAGGTACCTAGGTACCTAGGTATGTAATCAAGAATGCGGGTCCCATTTGCCAGCTGCTTTTGTCACTTGGCATCGAAAAGAAAAAGAATGCCAATCGGCTTGGCGTACCTAGGTATTGCTTGTGGCGGCAGGGCGGCCTCCCTAAACCTTGTTAACCTTGCTAACCTTACGAAAAAAGGGACCCTTGCTTCAATGAAAGCCAATCTGAAGCCAATCTGAGGTTTCGCCCTGCGCAAGATTTCAAAGCGAACCTGAAAGATTGACACGCCCCAGAAAAAACAAGCTCCTTATTTTCTTGTATTTCTGACAAATAACAAGTGTTTTTAACGCGTTTACGAAATCCCTCTTCTCCCGACGACTTGAATGCAGATCTAGACTTCCCGCGATTGATTCCCGCCTTCTTTTAAAATCCCCATCATTAGTTTTGGACAGCTGTAGAGACACAGTACCGACGTAACGATCGCGTGGCCATTTTTATTTACCTCGAAGGAAGGGGCGCCGTTTAAGCTCGCTCCTACGCGGATAAAATACATACTACATACTACATACTACATACATACGTACCTACACAAGATGGGCCAGAGTGTATCATGGCTGTCCGGCCTGCTGTGGGCAAAGAAGGAGATAAGAATCCTTATCCTAGGTCTTGTACGAGCTTACAGAGCCCCCCTGTTCGAGCCCATTCGAGCTTCTCTATCCGGAGCAGTACCGGCTAATTCAACATCTTGCGCAGGATAACGCGGGAAAGACGACATTATTATACAGACTGAAGGTCCGTCCATCCTTTCGAATACTTGTATCATTCTCTTGCGCCTCGGACGAACTTGCAGCGGAATGACAGGACTAAGCACTAACAACGAACCTCCTACAGGTAGGCGAGGTAGTAACGACAATCCCGACGATCGGGTTCAACGTCGAATCAGTAACATACAAGAACCTAAATTTCAACGTGTGGGATTTAGGTGGACAAACTTCGATCCGACCTTACTGGCGATGCTACTATGCGAACACCGCAGCCGTGATATTTGTCGTCGACAGCACGGATATCGAGCGTCTACAGACTGCGGCTGAAGAGCTAGCTGCTATGCTCAACGAGGATGAACTGAGAGATGCTGCGCTCCTAGTGTTTGCCAACAAACAGGACCAGCCTGGTGCCAAGGGCGCGGGCGAGATATCCGAGGCACTGCGGCTGGGCGAGCTGAGGGATCGCAACTGGAGCATTGTCGCGTGCTCAGCGGTCGACGGAAGCGGTGTCAACGAAGGCATGGATTGGCTGGTGGTAAGTCATGTTCTAATTCCTACCTGCATCCAGTTCGAGGGGGCGGCCAACTTTACGACCAGATTACCCCCTACTTGAGTAGATTTCAGGGGTAACAGAACCTGGAACGGAACCTGGCTAACACGTCACGTAGCAAACCGTGTCACAGGACTAAACGTCTTGATATCGCACAAAGCATTCCTCTGTATAACACTTAACCAACCGTATCAATCCATGGGCATCTCAAAACATATTTTATTGATACCGCATCCTTACGGTCTTGGGTAGACGGCCCCTGCCCCCTCATGTTAGTCTAATAGGGCCACGAGGTGCAGCGGCCGCTGTGATTAGGAGCATAAGGCGTTTTCTGCAGGATTTTATTTTTTTGGACGAAGGAGGAGGATCCAGAGAGGGCACGGAAGCAGGCGAGAACGATGAATATCAAGTTCGATGAAGAATCTCGAGACACGTATGCATCATTCCAGGCACGTATTAGTAGTATGGGGCTGGTCCTGGTCTGGTATGCTAGGTCATATATATACGATGAACCTCCCAAGCTCCTTTAATTTGCCCTCTGGCGGAAGATAGAAGAACAGACAGGCGGATCTCCTGATCCGGCAGCCCGGATCGAAATAATACTAGGTTGGGGTCGGCTCTATCCAGTCGTTACGTTAGATATATTATAATTACCGTAGATGCGCGTAGCATAAAGTAAATGACCCAAGTCGTTGCCATCATATGTGTCTTAGGTGGTGTTTCTGATTCATGATGTTTCATGGCTCAATGGTTCAGGGGAAGATCACGACTATGTTTCCTAGTAACATTCCTCTCGTCGAATAAGAGCTTCAGCTCGGCCGTCTTGCCCGTCACCGTGCATATATGATATAGGTAGGTTTCTTTGTATAGAATAGAAAGTATAACTACCTATATAAACTTCCTTGACACAAGTGACATCAAGGTATACGGTATGCTCTCAACAACTGATTAGGTAGTCCTTCACGGCGCTGGCCGGTATAGAATACATGTAAGTAACGGCGTCCATGGTGTAGCAGATACGTGACTTATAGATGTTACCGCGATTGGCTAGCCGCAATGGCATTTTACCTCAAAGGAATTGAAGCTGCCGCATTTTCGGCCCCACTTAGGTACTTGGCCGACCACGTCGCCACGAGACCACGCGGGGTTCCGGCCTTATTACATAGGTAGGTATGGAGGATATATAGGTACCTAGGTATCTGTAAGTATATGCACCATATTAATGGCGCGAGATGGGAAACACGGCCCCAAGATCAGCTCGCAAAAGGACTTATCCCTTGACTGTATACGCACATAATTCGGATATAAAATCCTGTGCAATCGGGGTTTACAAACTTACCTAAGGATCGCGTCGTGACGTCTCGTTGTGCTATGTATTATGGTACTTTGTGTAGCTTAGCGGCCGGGACAGCCGGGGGCTAATTTTGGACCGTACGAAGCAAGAGCCCTGTTTACTTTCGGAAAGGAAAAGCAGGACATTTTTAAAGTATACGTACGTATATTGTGGTAGACAAGAATGGAAGGTATAACTACCTACCTACGCTATATGATGTCATGAACTATGTGTGAGGAGCTACGGCGTTATAAAGATGAGCGCGTTGAGTTGTCGTCCGAAGCAGCATGTTGATACTTGCCTCGAAAAACCGACAGGAGTTTCCTAAAGGGCAAAGGCGGCTGTAGTAAGCGAATACCTAAACCTACCTAGGTACTCGAAGAGTTCTACGAGCTGCTAATAAGACGGTCGAGTCGGATTGCCGAATATAACCATGCGGCACCTATGTACTAGGTTAGTGTATGGCTTGTCTACTACATAATGGAGGGGTTGCGGATGGGCTCGATGGTTCGTTCGACCAAAGACGCATCGATAGCTCAACTATCATCTGCCGGCAAAATGCACTAGGACGACCCGGAGGCGCTTATGAATCCTACATGGAGTCGTTTTCTCGCGGGAATTGCTCTGCTAGCCATGTTCTGCATGTTCTGCATGTACGTATAAGTTATAAGTTCAAGGGACCCGGGTATGAGGTATGTATGTATTGCCACCAGGGTTCCGTTCTTTGATCTCCAAGGGAAGAGATCGGTAAAGGGGGAAGGGGACGGGGGGGTCTGTCTGTCTGTCTCCGTTGAATCAGAAGACCGCGGTTAGTAATAGGCAAGAGACCATCTGACATGCAAGTTCTTTATGCCGTTCTGCAAGGCCGTTCTGCAAGGAGAGATGACGGTGGCGCTTTAATATTCTCCGCAAAGAAAAAAAAGAAAAAAGCAGGCAATTAGTTCTAATACGCGTCGCGTAAGACTGTAGCGCAGGTCAAGCGTGAAGGCTAAGGAAACTAGAGAATCCGTAAAAATAGCGAAGGCCGAGAGAGGCCGAACTGCTTATGGATGCTGTGGGTGTTATGACTACTTGCCGAATTGCCTTTTGTAAAAGAAATTGGATTATTGGAGAAGATATAGCATAGCGACGAGGATGGCTTGAAGTTGTATATACACACCTAACTTACCTGGGTATAAAGGGCATATAAAGTAGGCAGGGCATGGATGTGTATTGGATGTGTATTACATACTATGTAGTATTACATAGAAAGCATCGGAGGGATGCCGGTAAATCGCGGGGCAACTTAAAAAGGTTACTACTACGAAATACTACCTAAGGTACCTAGGTTAGGTTAATGTACAATACATAGAAGCTCACAATTAGCAATTATCTAATTGGCCAACCCCGACCCAGTAGATTTACCCCACCTCCCAAAGTCTGGTAGTTTGCGTATTTGGGTTTACCAAATGCAGACCTGGACCCACTCTGGACCCACTTCCCATTTCCCGTTACTTTCGTCACTTTCGTCACTTTTATCACTTTCGTCATTTTTGTCGACCTCTCACCTTTCTCCACCCCCCGAGCCCGGACGACTCTCTTCTTGGCTCGCCTCCCCTGTCCTTCATCAAACCCCATCTATGACCGTGCTACTAGAGCGAGATCACGACGCATACATACAGAGCCCGCCGCAGCTCGTATGTAAGTGGTCAGATGAATAGTTGGAGTAGCGCATTGCTACGATGATGCCGATAATGCGAGAAGTGGAGAGGGAAGGGGAAGACGAAGACGAAGAGAGAGAGAGGGGGGGGCGGTTTCATGAAATGTAGTTGAAACTTTTCTTATCATGTACATCCGGCGTTTCTTATTGACAAAGCCAAGAAGGACGAGTGACGAGTTAAGGTAGGTTAGGTTAGGTCAAGTATTTATATCTGTTCATCCCCCCCTTTCCCAGGCTTGCTTGATATCTTCTGTTCCCTCCGGTTTGCACAAACCTAGCTATCCATTCGTACCCCTACCTACGTACGCACATAAGAAGCTCTATCTGTGTGAAGGGGGACTTCTTCGTCTACGTAACAACAACACTACTCTACTCCCGAAGCCTCTACTCCCGAAGCTCAGGTAGCGCCCCTGAGTTTGGACAGCCTGCTTTCTAAGATAGCATTTATTTAAACTCACTTAGTCGTAAAGATGGTCGCCAACGAGAAGCCCGCGTCTACCTTTAGGTACAACGAAAAGCCCGTGTACACTACTTCCAATGGCTACCCTATCGAGAATCCCTCCAAGTGGCAGCGAGTTGGCACTCAGGGTCCCCTCCTACTTCAAGACTTCCACTTGATTGATCTGCTCGCCCACTTTGACCGCGAGCGTATCCCTGAGCGTGTCGTCCACGCCAAGGGTGCCGGCGCCTACGGTGAATTCGAAGTCACCGACGACATCAGCGATATCAGCTCTATTGATATGCTGACTGGTGTTGGTAAAAAGACACCAGCCGTCGTTCGATTCTCTACCGTCGGTGGCGAAAAGGGGTCGGCCGACAGCGCCAGAGATCCTCGAGGTATGTTAACTGCCGCTCAGAATAGTTGGTGCGCAATTGCTAACTGGGGTTATAGGATTTGCCCTCAAGTTCTACACTCAGGAGGGTAACTGGGACTGGGTCTACAACAACACACCCATCTTCTTCCTCCGAGATCCCACCAACTTCCCTCTCTTCATCCACACTCAGAAGCGTAACCCTCAGACCAACCTGAAGGATGCTACTATGTTCTGGGACTACTTGGTATGTGTATACTTGACTTACCCGCCTACTTGTAATTGCCTTACAGAAGCAAGAGTTCTAACATAAAAACAGTCCACCCACCAAGAATCCGTCCACCAGGTTATGCACCTATTCTCTGACAGGGGAACGCCTTACTCATACCGGTTTATGAACGGCTACTCTGGCCACACCCACAAATGGACCAAGCCCGACGGGTCTTTTGTCTATGTCCAAGTACATCTGAAGACTGACCAAGGAAGCAAGACCCTCACCAACGCGGAGGCTGGCAAGTTGGCTTCTGACAACCCCGACTTCGCAACCCAGGACCTGTTCGAGTCTATCCAAAAGGGCGAGTTCCCTAGCTGGACCGTCTATGTACAAGTCTTAACCCCAGAGCAAGCCGAGAAGTTCAAGTGGAACATCTTTGACCTGACTAAGGTCTGGCCACAGGCTGAGGTACCTCTCCGACGGTTCGGCAAGTTGACACTCAACAAGAACGTAGAAAACTACTTCGCCGAGATTGAGCAAGTTGCTTTCTCTCCGTCGCATCTCGTCCCTGGTGTCGAGCCTTCGGCAGACCCCGTACTCCAGTCGCGTCTATTCTCATACCCCGACACCCACAGGCACAGGCTCGGTGTCAACTACCAGCAAATCCCCGTAAACGCGCCCCTTCATGCTTTCAACCCCTTCCAGCGTGACGGAGCCATGTCCGTAAACGGAAACTACGGCGCCAACCCCAACTACCCCAGTAGCTACCGCAACTTAACTTACCAGTCCATCAAGCCTACGAACCCTCACGAGAAATGGTCCGGAGCCGCTGTTAGCGACCTATTCGACGAGATCCAACCCCACGACTACGAGCAAGCCAATGGCCTGTGGAAGGTTCTTGGCCGAACCCCGGGTCAACAGGAGAACTTCGTCAACAACGTCGCCGTACACCTAAAGGATGCGCACAAGGACACGCGGGAGCGAACATACGACATGTTCACCAAGGTCAACCCCGAGCTCGGCGCTGCCATCAAGGCTGAGACCGAGAAGAACGCCAAGCTATGAACGTGGGATTATTACGGAATATAATGCGATGAGAATGAAAAATGTTATATACGAGTAACGTAAAAAGACAACCCTTTCTCTATCTAGTGTTGCAGTCATGTAGTCACTATAATTTCGAGGTTAAATCCCTACGTATCGCGTCTTTGCCTTCGTAGAGTATTGTGATGCATTTTCAGTGTGCGTGTGATGATGATATTCGTATAACTACTAAGAATAGTAAACACTGCTTCTCAGTTGAGACGATATCAGTCAAGTTGACAAAGCATGAATGCCAAAAAAAATATTAAACCAGAAAAAATTCATAACTAGGCTAGGAGTATCGCCTTAATGCTCATGTAGACATGCGATTCGTGATATCTCGATACCGTACAAGAAAAAACCAATGCCCAATCCTGATGCTATTCGAAGAAGGCTTTGAGGAAGAAAAAAAAAAAGAACACTGTTATCCAGACCCTCGTTACCGGGAGTCGAGTTGCACAGAAACCCACAAGACCAGTTAACTCCGAGGCTGGATCCGGACTGTATCTACTATCTTCTGGCATGTCCGGATATATAGATAGGTAACTAGTCCAGACCACAGTCATATGCGGCTGTCGCGTCTCACCCCCCTGTATAAATCCCTCCGTCCCGAGGCGGCAGACCCCTAATCTTGCCGCGGCATCTGGTTGGCCAGATTCATGTGCATCAAGGCGTCGCGCTGCCACTCCTCCTCTTGCCCTGTGCTGCTTTG